CAAATGAACCTTTTGTGAGCTTCCACTGACCATTTCTAAAGGTTCTATAGAAACCTTCATCATCAAATCTACCAATCGAGATTTGGACGCATGCTTAAAAGCCCATTCCTCATCAGTCTTGTTTTTCGGTTTAGTTCAACTAATCAGGCAAATGCATTTTAATTACCATAAGGAGATCTCTCATTTTTCCATATATGGTAATTCTTGCCATTTAGACTGATCATTTTGCTTGTCCATTCTGACTTGCAGTGAAAATCATCATCGACATAAACTGTATACGTCAACAGTAGTATACGTGAATAGTGACCATGAATAGTAACAGTATATGAAAATAGTAACTATATGCGTAAATAGTAACTATACACGTGAATAGTACTATGCATGAATAGTGCTGGGCTTACTTGAAACGGATTCAGCAACAGTAACGCCAATAGTAGTGTTCACCATCAACTTTGAGTTACTATTTTACTATTCATCACTAAGTCGATTCTGCAACGATTCTGCAACGTCTTTCTGAGCGGACAACACCAATGGACTCGTCGTAATCGTAATTTTCTCTTCGTCGTGGTATATTTAATTTCAAAATATATCCACGGATCCGATACCGCTATCTGACCGGCTGGACCTGCCGAAACCTTCGGCTCTGATACATATTGTTAGGCATCAGCTCTGATACCAGTTTTTTGGCATCAGCTCTAATACCACTTGTTGGGCCTTTCAATTAATTAAGAGAAAACTAACGCAGCAGAAAAGTAAATTTATGACACACAGAAATTTACGTGGTTCACCCTCAACTGCTTAGGGCTACGTCCACGGAACAAACTCCGAATAATTCTTCCACTATTACAAATAGTAGGTACACAAAGAGAGTAATACAAAAAATAGTGGCACTTAAAGTGTTTCTCAAAAACACTCTATAATAATTTCCTCACTATGTTTCTCTCCCCTAGTTTTAGGAAATCCTTCCTAAAACTAGATAACTCTCTCTCTAAGGAAATCCTTCCTAAAACTAGATAACTCTCTCTCTACAATTTTTTTCTTCTTCTGCTATGTTTGTGTGTTTGAACGGAGGCAAATCCTCTCCTATTTACAGGAGAGGAAGATGAGAGAACTGTATATAACTCATTCACGGCTCTCCATTTTTGTCAAAGTTGCATGCCAACTTTCACCTTTTTTTTTTCTTTTCATCACGTGTGTGGGTCCCACTGAATGGGCACCACCACACCAATAACAAAACACCAATAACAAACATTTTGAAAGAGCAGCTTAGCGTTTGCTTGTGGTGGAAGGTCTCAAGGTCATGCGGCGACTGCGGGTGGTGGGATTAGGCGGATAGGTGGTTAAGTCAATAAACAATTGTAGGCCAAGAGAAGCATAAAGTGTACGAGATTTGGTGGTTGACATATTAGAGGATAAAGGGGAAGATGAAATTCTGTAAGTAAAGGAGAAGAGGAAGTTGGTGTGAAATCTGAAGGAGATTGAGAAGAATTTAAAATATCATTTGTTAAATTTGAAAAGGAATTAAAAGAAGAGTTATTAGTCTTTATAGATTTTCTAAATATGCTCATAATATTATTTTAAATAACTGTATTTTGTTTATTTTCTTATGATGTGATTTAATTTTTACCATATCAATAAAATTTATATTCATAATTAAATTATTTTTCCTAATGCAATTGGACAAAAGAAGTTTTCATATTATAAAATAAAACTTTATGATTCGTGAGATATGATGAATTTAAAATGTATGCGTATGTATACAACTAGAAAATGGTATTTGCAACTTCTTGAGATTTATAAATCCTTTCTCTAAACATTAAGATCAAATCAAGCATATCATCAATAATAGTAGAAATAATTTTTTTTTCTTGAGTTTGAAATTAAATATAAGTTAATTACTTATAGAGTTATGCTAAATGGCCAGCTTTCACTTTAGCATGGCAATATATCTAAAAGTATTTAACAAGTTCAATATATTTGGATTTCGCCCTCAATGTACACGGATGCATTTTAAACATTTTGTCTGGCCAAAATTAGGCTAACTATACTTTCTGTTACCTATAAATATAAATCAATAAGATCAATAAGTAGGAATTTGCAATGGATTTATATTTTATGATCCCGATATTATATATGAATATCTTAGAAGTAAATATATATATATATATGAAAAAATATTGCTATGTTTCAAGTTTAATTGAAAATTTTTCTTATGAACTATTATTTACAATTAATATTTTATTTTTAAAAATTAATTTAATAATCGATAGATTTTATTAACTTTTGCTTGTTTTTCCGTTACTCAGATAAGAAGCTTCAGAAAAAGTCAATGAAAGTGAAATTTTTTTTTTTCATAAAATCACCCTTAACAGGAAAAAAAAAAAAGAATTCTCAATTTTTCCCTTCTGATTAAAAGCCCATAAATGACTTTTTTTTTTTTTTTTTTTTTTTTTTTTTTTTTGTTTTTTTTTTCTAAATCACCCTTAACAGGGAAAAATAAAAAAAAAGGACATTCTCAATTTTTCCCTTCTGATTAAAAGCTAAAGTGACTTTTTTTTTTTTTTTTTTTTTTTTTTTTTGGGAACAAAAGACCCCAAATTGAGACTTGTGTTAAAGAGGGCCATATTCTCAGTCGGCTTGGGCACACTGAGCCTCCACACAATCAAACAGCTCTGAATAATAATATTAGTTTTTTTAAAAAAGAACATTAACGTTATAACGGAAGAGAGGATAAGGTGTATCGATACAATATGATATGATTAAAATTATTTCACGATAAACATACTATATTTTAAAAATTTTAATTTTATTAATGAAAAAATTAATTTTATTAATTGAAAAAATAAAGGTATATATTTTTATTGGTTATATTATATTATAAAAGATACATATTAAATATTGTAAAATATTAATATATAAAGCTTTAATTTTATTGGTTATAATTATTTTTTACAAATAATTTATTACACAAAAAATAAATATAATTTATTATGAAATATATTATAAAATTTATTGTTTGATATAAATAGAAAATAAAATTCACTAGAAATATATATAAAAGTATAAAATTATGATATAACAGATTATATTAGCAAACTATATAATACATTGAAAGAATTTTTTTTTCTAAAAAAAGCAATGATATGTTTATAGACTTCAGCGAAAGGTAGAAAATAAAAAATATTAAAATTATAAATGATGCTTTAAAATAATGATTAATATATTAATTATTATAATAGCTAATGATAGTTTCTGAAATTTTAGTAACATTTACAATTTATTTATTATATTATATATGAAAAAATAAGTTAAATTAAATTTAAATTTTTATGAAAAAATTTAAATTGATTGATAAATAATTCTATTTTCATTGAAAATTTGATTATCAAATTATAATAACATTTTATTATTATAAATAAGTTATTTTCCTAAAAAGTTATTAATTATTGAATTTTTTATTTTATTATTTATGGAATTTTTTATTTTATTATTTCATAACATGTTTTTTTTTCTATTTTATAAATACTGTTAGATTTTTAATAATATAAACCGTTAATAATATTATAATTAATAATAAAAAAATTATATATAAAAATTATATTATATTTATTTGTAATATGTAAAAATAATAGATACAAACAACATGCAATGCATATTTAAAAAAATTATTATTTAAAATTTCAGACCATATCGTTTTAAGATATTTTTCCCACTATTTAGCAAATGCAATTAATATTAATGTTAGAAGAATCTGGTGCAACTCCGTCACCATCTTTCTTTCTTTCAACACCTAAAATCTAAATTTTTTTTTTTCGCGGGCAGCCACTAGTGTGCTCTCATCAGTGGTCACCCATTTCCTTTTTCATTTTTATTTTTTTTACAAATAATCCTCAAATCTTTACAGATTTGAGTTATTATCGCCTAAATTTTGGGATTTATTATTGTCTATATTTTGAAATTTTATTCTCAGATTTAATTCTGAATTATTGTTATCATCATTATAATGACTTTCTAGCATATTTTATTATTTGAATAGTTATGTAAAAAGAAATGCAGATCTCCTTTCCAATCAAAAGAAGAAATTTGAAAGTAGTCATATCGGACTTGTAAAAAAATCATGGAGTGAAATAGTGGTCATGAATAACCATCAAGTGGAGCAAGCGACCGCCTATTGGCACAAATATTATGTTTTGTCAACTTGATCAAATACTTCAAATTAATATTGTGTTTTTTATTCTCTGTATAAGTAGTTTATTATTAGACTTTCTATACAAAAATGTAAAAACATATTAATCTATGTCTCATATTTACATACAGTTTTCAACTAATGAAATTTCTAATTTGATTTTTCTAAAAAAAACTAATATTAATTATTGACACGGACTATAATTTTAAGACAGGGGAGTAATTATATTAAATTAATTAGACATTTCATTACAATGTAGAAATTAAATAAATATTCCTTCTCAAAAAAAAACTGAATAAATATTCACCATAATTAATAATTACACATGATTACCACTAGCTTACTGAATAATTCTTTTTTAAAAAAATAAAAAAAAATTAAAACAGTTTAGAGAAAAGTTGTTTCCATCAAATAATAAACGCAGCAATAATACCTGGACCTGGAGTGCACAACTCTCGCATTGAAATCTAAATTAAAAATAATTAAAAGATTGCTTGTCATTTGTTTACCAAAATTTTTTTGGGTATACCAAAATTGATTTGCCTTGTGAGTATTGCTGTCACTATTACTAATCACAACAGAAAACACAGTGACGGAATCGAATATTCAACCCAACACTGAATCTGAATCTTTGAACCCATTCAAAAATCATACAAACACCCCCCCCATACCAAACAACCCCCCCCCCCCCCCCCCCCCCCCCCCCCCCCCCCCCCCCCCCCCCCCCCCCCACAAAGCCAAAAACATGGTAATCCCAATTTTCCACTCCTCATCTCCTCCCTCCAACCACACACCACAGCCCCTACTTCCCCCACAAAGCAAAACATGGAATCCCCTAATTCTCCACTCTCTCATCTCCTCCTCCAACCACCACCCACAGCCCCTACCTTCACAGCTAAATTTCCCAATAAATTATCACTAATCCCACTTATTTTCCTCATCTTCTTTGAGGTTTCCGGCGGTCCATATGGCATAGAATCTACCGTCGGAGCTGCCGGGCCTTTTTGGGCTATATTAGGCTTTCTCGTATTTCCCTTCATTTGGAGCATACCTGAGGCCCTTATCACCGCCGAGCTTGCCACAGCCTTTCCCGGCAACGGCGGTTATGTTATTTGGGCTGACAGGGCTTTTGGGCCCTTTTGGGGCTCTCTAATGGGTTCTTGGAAGTTCTTTACTGGTGTCCTTAACTTGGCCTCGTACCCAGTTCTTTGCATAGACTATGTCAAGTTGGTGTTTCCAATTTTCTCTTCAGGTTTGCCTCGCTATATTGCAATTTTATTTTTCACTTTATTGTTTTCTTTTTTAAACTACACAGGCTTGGCTATAGTTGGTTACACTGCAGTGACTTTAGGTGTTTTATCACTATCTCCATTTGTAGTTATGACTTTAATTTCAATCCCCAAGATTGTTCCTTCAAGGTGGATAAATTTTGGTCAAAAGGGTATCCAAAAGGATTGGAGTTTGTATTTTAATACTTTGTTTTGGAACTTAAATTTTTGGGATAGTGCTAGTACTTTAGCAGGAGAAGTTGAGCAGCCTCAAAGTACTTATCCAAAAGCACTTTTTGCTGCTGGTTTAGTTACTTGTTTGGGTTATTTACTTCCTCTTTTAGCTGCTATTGGAGCTATCCCACTAAATCAAAAAGATTGGACAGATGGATATTTAGCTAATTTGGCTAAAATGATTGCAGGTAATTGGTTAAAAATTTGGGTTGAAATTGGTGCATGTTTATCAATTATTGGTCTCTATGAAGCCCAATTAAGTAGCTGTGTATATCAGCTTTTGGGTATGTGTGAATTGGGAATTTTGCCTTTGTTTTTTGGAGTTAGATCAAAATGGTTTAATACACCCTGGGTAGGAATTTTGCTTTCAACAATAATAGCAGTAGCTGGTTCTTATATGGATTTTGATAATATAATTTCTTCAGTGAACTTTTTATATTGTTTAGGTATGTTATTGGAATTTGGATCATTCTTATGGTTAAGGAAAAAATTGCCAAGTATAAAGAGGCCTTTTAGAGTTCCAATGGGGATGTTTGGTTTGGTGGTTATGTGCTTGATTCCATCTGGGTTTTTGGTCTATGTAATGGCTGCAGCTAGTAAAGTTGTGTATTTGGTGACTGCTATTTTAACTTGTATTGGGATTTTTTGGTATTTTCTCATGGGGTTTTGCAAATCAAAGATGTGGATTCAGTTTAATAATGTTGGAGGAGAATTGGAATATGAGGAATAGGGTAGGTGTATATGGGAATTATTTTGTAAAGTAATTGATTTCCTGTTTACTGTTGAAATTGAAAATGCCTTGTCATCTAGAACTACACTCTTATACTCTCTCCCTTCCTAAGTTCTTATTAGAAAGTATTATGTTTTCAAATACTTGTCATGTTTATGGATTTCACAAATGATATTTTTATTTTACCCTTTGTATACGTGATTTGCTTCAATTTTTCAATAATTCATTGTAACTTAGATAAATTAAAGGTAGTATAATCAATTCACTCAATAATTTATTGTAACTTAATAAATTGAATAGTTTTATAAGATACGTGAAATACTCAAATGTAAAAAATATTAGTAAGCTTTTTAATCAGCGGCTGGTAGCTGATTTGCAAATGTGAAAAGTTGTAACTTCGCAGACCAACCACAATTTAATTTTAAAAACAATACTATATTTAATCTGCCACTCCATCAAAACCAAAGACAGAGTGTTGTTCTTTCTATAATAGACTCGTGTACAAGTGCCATAAGACCTCAAATTCTGTATATATATATATATATATACACACACACACACACACATGGGTATTGCTTTAATTTGAAAATAAATCTAGTCATACAAATTGCAAGCATAACTTTTCAAGTAAAATAAAATTTAAAAAATATTTTAAATAGGTAGGTTGCAGCACATGATGATTTGGAAAATTGCTAATACTCGATATTTTCCAAAAACTTATTCTTGACTTTCTTGAGAGCAACAACAGCATCTTTCATGTCTATCTGCTCTTGTGGTAAAATTGCTGAACATTGGAAGGCTAACTTCAAATTGGATGTTATGCAATCCTTCTTAGCTCCAAAATGTTCTTCATCTTCACTTATTAAATTGGCATCAATAGCTTGAGTAACTTCACAAGACAATGATTATTCAACCCAATGCGACAAGCTCATCTCCTCCGAGAACAAATCATCAGTAGGCTTCTTTCTCGTAAAAGTTTCCATCAGTAGAATACCATAACTATAGACATCATTTTTCACCGATACAATTCCTTCTGATCCATACTCTGCCACATCAACAGTTTTCCTGGTCAATATAAATTTAACAATGTCTAATCATTTAATTAATAATATGTTAATATGGTTGTGCAATAAGACCATATTTTAAAAACAAAATTGCCACAAATCATGATTTGGTTCCTGTTTGTCAAAACAATCCAATCAGAACTGTAACAAATCATAATTATTTTAAGTGAAGAGTAAGGGAGAATAGATAGAAAACATCACCTGGTGCCATTTAACCAGTAGTGGCTAGTGTCATAGTTTGCTTAATAGAATCTCCTTCAACTAAAAGTTTTGCAATGCCAAAATCAGCAACAAATCCAACCATCTTCATCTAACAAAACATTGCTTGGGAGCCATGATGGAGATATTCTAATGCAGATGCCACATCTACCATAATATTCAACCTTCGAAGGATGTCCAGAAAATAATTATAAGATTATAACCATTTCTCAAGACTTCCATTGGGCATGAACTCCATTACCAATGCTTTAAAATCAAGATTGCAACTACTAATAACAATTTTCACAAGATTTCGGTGGCGAACATTCCGCAACACTTCACATTCATTTTCAAAGCTCTTGAATCCTTCTAATTGCAAATTGAAAACCTTTATTGCAATAACTGTCTCATCCAATAAAGTTCCTTTGTACACTTTTCCGAAACTTCCCTTGCCAAGAAAATTGCTTTCTTGAAACCCATTTGTGGCAAACTCAAGTTCTTGATATGAAATTCTTCTCCACATATCTAATGGTAGAAGACCTTCAGGATCTTCAAGCTTTACTTTTCTTTTAAAGAATCTTCGATTGAGAATTATGACAAGTATCAACATTGTGAATCCGACAAAAGGCAAAATATATCTAAGAAAAAGCTGACTCGATTTTTTAGATGCTTGAATATTGTGATTGTCTTTGCAAGCCGGACCTGTAGTCGGGGCGCGCCACATAACCCTTTTTTTGCCATAAATGACCAAAATGAAAAAGTTTGTAAAAGGTCCTTTATCAGGAATTTCTTGTAATTGATTGAGGGAAACATTAAAGTATTTAAGATACAATAGCAACTCCAAAGACTTGGGAATTATTCCTGAAAGGTTATTTCTTGAAAGGTCTAAGATTTCCAAGCCTTAATTCATTAATTGATTCAGGAATTTGACCTTGTAACTTACTCCCATGTAAGCATAATGCAACTACACTAACCATACCTCCAATTTCCCGATATATCTATCATATTAACAACCTTCAAGTTTTCTATTTCTGATGACAGAGAACCCACTAAAGAGTTTGAAGACAAGTTCACTTGTAAGATACCCTCAGTCTCCGTAAGGTTGAGAGTACGGTACCCATGAATTTATTCGAAGCCAAGAAAAGATTTCTTAGAGATTTCAGATTGCTGAAGCAATACGGTACTGATCCTGAAATGTTATTGCGTTCCAATCCTAAGAAAAAAAGTGACTTTAAATAACATAGCTCACATGGGATAGATCCTTGTAAATTATTACCACCAAGATCTAAAACTTGAAGCTCTACTAATCTTCCAATAATACTGGGAATTTTTCCTGCTAATAAATTGTTTCCTAAACTTATAAATATCAAGGGAGTTAAATTGCTAATGTTTTCTGGAATTTTACCCTTTATAGCGCAATTATCAGCAACGAAGGATCCAAGTGAATTGCTAATGGATTGTTATTGAACCATAAGGCGACTAAATTTTGACAATTTGTCAATGATGAAAGAAAGCTTAATCCTCCAACCGGGTTGATATTCTTGAAAAGATTATGAGCAAAGTCGAGTTTCTCCTAATATTTTGAATTTCCAAGGCAATCAGGAATGAAGCCAGAAAATGCATACCTAGATAATTCTAGGACTGTTAGCGTAGAGGCATTGCAAATAGAAGGAGGGATATGTCCACTGAGTTTATTACCTCTAAGATAAAGCTCTTGACAATTTGGAAGGCTAAGGCCTAAGGTTGATGGAAGATTGCCTGATAGATTATTGAATGAAAGGTCAATCTCTTCCGATGTTGAGATATTGAAGATTGAAGATGGAAGTGAGCCTTTCAATTTGTTGAAACCGAAAGACACAAATTGCAGATTTTGGAGGCTGCCAATCTCTTGAGGAATTGTACCTCCCACGATTAATATTTTAGAATTTGCATTAATGGCGTTGTATTGAAACAGAATAGAAAAAACAAGTAATTATAAACAAGTAATTATAAAGGCCATTAAATTTCCCTATCAAAAAAAAAAAAAAAAAAAAAAAATCGTTGTATTGAACACAGAATAGAAAAAACAAGTAATTATAAAACAAGTAATTATAAAGGCCATTAAAATTTCCCTATCAAAAAAAAAAAAAAAAAAAAAAAATCTTCACAAAAAAAAAAAAAAAAAAAAAAAAAAATCTTCACAAACGATATCGTTTAGTTTGTTGCTGTCCAAATAACATTTCTAAATGTAAAAGATTTCCGATCTCTTGAAGAATTTCACCTTCAAAATTAACTTGAAAAATTTACTTTCAATCACTTAACATTGGAATCGTTTTATTTTATTAGTGATAATCCATGCCGATCATGAACTTTTAGTCCAAAACCTAATATTATTCCAATAATAATAAGTCATATATCTATTGAGATAATTAGATATATAATATTCCGAGGGTGAGTGAGGATTAGTTAAGTTTATGGACTGTTAAAACGGACACGGGCCTGATACCATAATTAGATGATACGTGCAACTGTAAAAAAAAAAAAAAAATAGACATATAATAATTATCATTAAAAGGGTAAATTACTATAACACACTCCAAGTTTACCATAATTAGCACACTAGACTACTTTCTGCTGTTCTCAAATTAGCATTTTTAGTTTCCCAGGTTTGTTAATGCCCAAGACATTAATCCTAATTTATTGAATCATGAAGGAAAGCAGGTCCGGAGCAAGAATTGTTAATGGAGTGTAAAATCTATATATCCATATATAAGATGTTCTATTTGTTCACTATTCTATTTTTCTTTGTCATGGATTTTTTGAAATATTTTATCTATTTTTCTATAATTTGATTGGATGTTTTATTCAAAAATTATTAATATATAATTATAATTAATAGCTATTATAAATTTAAATTTTTAAACGTTCTTATCTATATCTAAGTACCTATTTAATCTAATCTAAACAATTAATCACCCATATATTTTTAGCAACCTAATAATACACAAACACAAATTTTCTCTTATCTTAAGGCGTTCTTTGCAGCTTGGAAACTATGATTCTTTGCAGTTTGGTATTGTGCTTCTTGCATTGATATGAGAATGAGAGAATATGTCCATGGATCTACCTTCATGGTATGAAGGTGAGTAACAAATAATCTAATCTAAACAATTAATCACCCATATATTTTTAGCAACCTAATAATACACAAACACAAATTTTCTCTTATCTTAAGGCGTTCTTTGCAGCTTGGAAACTATGATTCTTTGCAGTTTGGTATTGTGCTTCTTGCATTGATATGAGAATGAGAGAATATGTCCATGGATCTACCTTCATGGTATGAAGGTGAGTAACAAATAAATTGGTAGGTTTCCAATATAGAACAACATATAACAGATACAAAGAATTTTCTTTTGTTCTTTTTGTACATTTATTAGTTAACAGATTCATAGATTTTTTTTTTTATTATTCTTTTTGTACATTTATCAGTTAATTGATACTTGGCATGTTTGCTAATTGCAGGTTCTCAAGAATTTCTCAGTATTGAAAATGGTGATCTAGCTAACCTCTACAAGGTTAATAAATTCTTTCTTTCTATTCTTCTTTTTTATTTGATTCAAGTGAATTGAAATTTAAATTCAATCCCATACAATAGAACTATAATTTATAGTTAAAAAATGTAATTAATGTTTGTTTTCGTTTGTTTTTTTAAAGGGTAATCATTCCTTTCTTTTTTTTTTTTTAACTTTATTTATATATAGTGACTACAGATATATAGATAACAATGATTCTAATTTTTTTTTTAATTTTTTATTATATATATATATTCACAATCAAGTTGTGATAATTTTATTTTTAGGGCTTCTTATGCTCCTATCTTGAAATACAGAAACAAGAGCTTAGTTCAATTCTTCAATTACAGGATCTGAAATTTACGATTTAATTTATTATATTAGCGTATAGTTTGTGATGGTAGAGTTGGTACTTTGTTTGAATTCTAAACTTACACTAATATTAACCCAATATTCTAAATTTGTTATTTAAATTGTTGAGTTTGATAAACATACTATCACTCTCAATATTTACTACGCATTTGATATTGAGTTATTTAAATTGTTGAGTTTTATCTATATACTATCAATCTAAAACATCGTAAATTATACATACACTCACCTAAAATCTCTTCCAGACTCTCTCTATATATGCACGGAAAACTTTTGTTGCAAACCCAATAATATTAAATAGATACTAAAATGAAAATTAGAATCACTGTTCAAGAAAATTTCCTTTTATTTACATTTATTAAGTAGAGTTTTTTTTATCGTTCTTTCTAAACATTTAATAATTCATGATATTTTAAATATCCACGCGCGAAGTGTGGCTTTCCGGTTAGTTATTCATATATGAGTATTACCAAGTGCATGTTCATACTCATATTATGCAGATATATATGTGTGTGCACGTGCGGGTGTGTGTATATATGTATAATATGATGTATTGTAATTCAAATCATAGAAATTTTTTGAAAAATTTCTCACTTATTTTCTTATAAAATCTTATTTAAACAATTTTTCTTTTGTGAGTTCTAAAACTTTTTTTAAAAAAAAAAATCATAATAGAAAAGTAGCATTAAGATTCAAATTAAAATTTTGAAATTCTATTATTAATATCAGCATGATAATAATTAATATTGTTATTTAAATAAATTTATCATAATATCTCAGTATGTAAGAGAATGAGATACAATCTAGGAAAATAATTAGCTAGGATTAAATCTAAATCAATTCAAAGTTTTATATCCAATAAAAATAATTAGCTAGAAAAATAATTTATTATTGACTTTGATGAAATTATAATGATTTTTATATATCCAATTAAAATTACTTTTAGAACCTAATTGAACAAATTAAAAGATTTTTGAGCCCAATTTAAAAATTAAAAAATAATGAGAGACGAAAAGGCAAAAGGCATCATCTTCTCCAAAATTATTTTTTTCTTTGTTAAAACCTTACCGCCACTGACAGGAAACACTTGCATCGCCATCGGCCATCTTGTGTCCTCAAAATAGTCCTGTTATGGTCGGAAGACCACGAGTTTTTCATCCCTTAACTGATACAGCGACCGTCTCGCTGGAAATCGAAAATCAACAACCACATCAGCCAGAACCTGCACCGACTACTGGAGCTCTCAAGGAGGAGGCACACATTGAGACATGCCTAATGCACGGCCCGCCGCCTGTGGCTTACAAGACTAATAGTCTGCCACAATAATAATAGATTGTGTTCTTCAGTTCTTTGATTATTTTAAAACATTTTCAATTTTTTTTGTTTGATTAAATCAATATTAATTGAAATCAACCTTAAGGGAGTGTATTGGATTAAGATTCTATTCGATTTTAAAAGATTTTTGAAATCTTTGGGTTGGAGGATAGATTTATAAATGAATTTTCATTTATAAATAACATTGATTGAGATGCTCGCTTGACTGGAACCCCAACTCTGAAATCCAACGAAATCAATAATTTTATAAAATCCTTTCAAATCAGTAATTTTTTGAATACCATCAAATTTGTAATGACTTTTAAAAAGTCATAATTGAATACAATAAGATTTTTATGGATTTTATACGAGTTTGAATTGAATATCACAATTTTAATAGATTCGAAAAAAATCTAAATTGAATACTATTAGAATTTTAAAATTTTTTAAAATCTAATAGAGTATTAATCCAATACACCCTCCTAAATGTATAAATCAATTAAAAAATAGTAAAACTTATTTAATGCAAATAAAAAATTATGATATTATAATAATTATTAAACTATTTTTATTTGTAAATAATAACAAAAACTACGATAATTAAAGGGAATACATAGCAAGTGGAGGCCTACGAGAAGAATATGCCACATGACATTTCTTGGGAAAATATGCATAGTAGGGGGCCTATGAGAAGAACATGTCTCGTGTCACTTCTTTGAAAAAAGAAAACTTATTTAATTGTTTGAAAAAATGTATATGTATTTAAAGAAAATTTAGCTTGACCAGTAAAAATTTAGTAATTTGTCTAATTATAAAATACATGTTAATATTTTAGTGTAATAAGACTATTTACGGTTAAGGATCTTCGCCCCTCCCTACAAATGCATTTAATGGGGATCAAACCCTGCGTTGCCAACTGAGCTACAAGCCTTAGATAGACTATTGTTTTTAATAATTACTATTATATATACAAAATTGAGATGCTTAAGATGAAGGGAGGAAACCATCAAAGTCTATCCTTGAGAACTCATGGGATTGGTCAATTAAATCAAACTTGATCTCAAACAACTAACAGCTGTTGAAACTCATGAACAAAGAGCTTCTATAGGTTCTGAAGAAGCTGTAGAAAATGCTTGTTGAAAATCAATCAAGTTACAAAAGTATTATGAAAATGGCTAGGTTTATCATGGAGAAAAAGCTTTCAAAATCCCTTTGGGCAGAGCCTTTTTCATACAGTAGTCTATCTCTTGAACAAGTTACCTATAAAGTGTGTTGGGAGCAAGATTCCTATTGAAGTTTGGAGTAGAGCATGCCATATACACTATTTTTAATTGATTTGGTGCATGACTGAGCTCGTATGCAGTAGCGATACTAGGGGTAGCCAATAGTGACACCCCTAATTTTAAAGTTTTTCTAAAGTTTACCTTGTAAAATATAGAAAATTTTACATTTTACTTATAACATATTTTGAAATTTTCTTAATTTCGCCCCTCTAAATTTTGAAATTTTATTTTGTCCCCCAAAATATTTTTTTTTGTTTCCACTGTTGCTTCAGGTGTAGATAAGTCTTTTAAGGTGGTTATCACTCTGAAGATACTATTGATACGAGATTGAATATTTCAGAAGCATATTAAGATGTTTTCTGTGCAGTTGATTGCTAGAAAAAAATGGCCCCTGACAAGAGTTATAATCACTCAATTGATTCCAGCTTTGAAGCAGATGTGTTGATCAACATACAAATTAAACAATTTGATAGAAAAAGAAACTGTATGGAAAACTATGAAATCGATGCTCAAATTTAACTAATAATGAAGACCAAAATCATCGAATACTTACACCTCATCAAAGAGATAAGATTTTCCATGCCTGCAAATAAAAAATTCAAGAACAAAATTTAATTTAATTTAATTAACAGTATTATACGCAGAAACTTTTCTTGTTGGGAATTAACTGTGTTGTTTCCTGTGGAGGATCGTTTCTTGGGGGGAATTATGCCCAGAGACTTTCTTCATTCAAGAAACTTTCTTTAGCGGCAACGATCACAGCAACATCGGCCAATAGCTCCAAGCCTTCCAACCCTCCATAACTCCAATTTCTTCTTCTTCTTCTTGGATTGTGAAAAATGGCAGAAAGCAAGTCGAAAATGAAAATAATCGCGAAAGAAGTAAGGATTATTGTAAACTTGCAAAAAGCAAATGGAAATCAAAGAAGAACTGCAAAAAACTAAAGAAAACAGAATGATCAAGGTTGAAACTTCAGAGGCAAGTAAAATTAATTAATAAAAGGAGAAACACTATCGAACTCGGATTTGCTTTGCAACGGCTAACATAAATTTGGCGCAATCCTGCTTATCGTTTGTCTTCTTAACTAGGGCCTTATTCAATGCTACTAGACCTGTAGCCAGAACAACAAACACACAAGTGCCCTTTTGGCTGCTTTAATAAGCTCATCTAATAATGACGAACAGACCAACACTACATTAGCCTAAGCAGCCCCACCTGAGGTTGAGGCCCCAACTGAGACAGAGACCTTCTTCCTGGCCTCAATCAAAACATCAAACTCTGGGGAACAATAGCCTTTTTCGTGGAATAAGAGTTTGGCTAAATGTTTGTTCATAGCTTCAGTGAAATGAATCCCATCCCAACTAATGTACTTCTCAGGATCCTTACAAGTGGTAGAGCCAGCTGATCCACAAAGATTTTTCAAGCAAAAATTGAGTTCTCCTCCTCCAACTCCACAACATGCCTTAAAAGGCTCTTCAAAGTTGAATTTCTTATGGTCTTTTAATATTTCCATGTATGCTTTCCATGTGTCTGCAAAAATTATGACACAATCTTTGTTTCCTTCTCTATATTCTTCCAAACTCTTTTGGAGAAGCTCGTTATGTGACATTATCATTGAATTAACTGCTGCTGAGCATCCCAATTCGTCATGCCCTTTCGCTTTATTCAGGAGCATTTGTAATGGACAGCAGCCTACTGGTGGTAACCCTTGAACTATAATGTACTTTGCTCCTTTATCTAGCAATGACTGCCATAAGAAAACAAACTTTAGTAACAATTATTAAAGGGAAAAAAAAAGTTCTGATAGGAGAATAAATACATGTCGGATGAGCGGTTGGGAGTTCAAACGTCAAACTATAGACAATATCCACCAGCTAGGGGTGGCCAAGGTTTGGTTTTGAACCAGAGCCAGAACCAGTTCTTGGAAATTGGAATTGAAGGTTCAGTCTCAATTTGAGACAGTTTCCAGAAAAAGAAAAAAAAATCTTGAATTATAGTCATGAAAATTGGCTGGAAAAATTGAGAAAAGAAGATGAAACAAGAACCAATAGTTCTGGTCTCGGTCCAGTTTGGAACCTTGGCCGGCCCTACTGTCAGCATTTGCATATGGCTACAACCGTGGAATCAAACAAGCTTGAAAATATGTTGTTTTGAATTTGTACCTGAAGAAATTGGCCAACATGACCTACAGATGCTTCTGAAAGTGATTTACCGGAAAAAGAAGATCCCAAAATGCGCGCATAATCACTAGAACCTAAAGCACCAATCCAGAAGAGGGAGTTTTCAATTTGAGTTTTGCATTTAGCATCGTCTTTCTCCTTGCAACCCGCACTCTGAAGGTAACTGTTAAACCATTCTATTTGTTCCAAAGTGTTATCAGGAACTGGTTTCCACATTAAACTGCGAAAAATCTTTTGGTTAGCGAAGAATTGACTAGAAAGACAAGTTGATCCACCCACTGCAAAGTTAGCTCCACCACTGAAATTAGCTTTAACATCCTTATATGCTTCTAATGGGGGCAAACCAATATCATGACAAAGGAAATCAATCACCAACCGTCCATTGCATAATCTATGGCCATGCAAGTTGGTAAGTTTGGCATACTGAGAACTCACCTTAAGAAGAAAAGCTTTAAGGCCTTCCACGAAAAAACAATTACCAGTATCTGTATATGAGTCTCCAAATGCATAAACCTTTGTAAAGGATCCTTTAAAGGTGATTTCGACATTTGTATTAATGGTGGTTTCTCCAGAAGGTGTTTCTTTCTCTTGGGTTGGAGGAGGTTTTTCTTTCTCCGGGGCTGGAGGAGGTTTTTCTTTCTCCGGCGCTGGAGGAGGTGTTTCTTTTTCCTGGGCTGGAGGAGGTGTTTCTGTTCTTGGAGGAGCTTGTGGAGTATCTTGGGCAGGAGGCTCATGAGCAAAAGAAAAAGAAAAGGCAATGAAGAGTGAAATACAAAAGAAAAGACATTCAAATTTCTTCATCTTGTAGGATTTATGTAATCAAAGGTGTTGTTTTGTTTTGTGTTTTTTGAAGCAAAAGTTCTTTATATTTTTTCTTGTAGCTTTCCTTCTCCCAGAATTAGGCAGTGAACCTCCATGGTTATAGGATACTGAATCGGTCTTGATCATCCCCACGTCTTCCTCCCAGAAATATTCTCTCTTTTATTTCTTTTTTTTTTAAAAAAAAACTCTCATAAAATTAATTAATCATGGCCAACATTAAAACATTTGGCGACTAGGCTTTAAGCAACATACAGTTTTAAGCCTATTAAACTTACGAACTCAAGTAGCTAGTATTATAATTATTATATGAAATCAAGTATTTTACTTAAACTTCACACAATAATAATAATAATAATAATAATAATTTTTATATATAAAAAGTGTTTTCTGCTTGATGGAACTTTTATTTTATTTAGCATTTAAATTATGATAAAGGTTGGACGTTTATCTTCTCAGAAAAAAAAAAAAAAGAAAAGAAAAGTTGGACTTTTACTATATATCATGCAGAATTATTAAATTTGTATGATACGAAACTTTTTCAATATGACACTTGTATAAGTATGACTAAATATTTCATATAAAATATATTTTTTATTTTTTTATTAATTAGGAAACAATAATAGTCTTATCTTGACTCACTAAATTAACAAAATAAAAATCCTTTATATAATGCCAAAATGCTACTTAAATTATAAATTAAATAATTCTTATAGTAAATTATGAGACTTAAGTAGTCTGGCTAATGGCTAACATTTGCTTATTTTATTATTTTTTTTAGTTTATACACGTATTTTCATTTTCACTTTTGAATTGATGTATTTAAGTAAAGTCTTGTGGACAATGATATGACTCAAACTAATTTTTAAATATCTAATTTATAAATAAAATTCATTTAGAATGCCATTGATTTTTACTTATCCAATTACTTGATACCCACTGGTCGTATTCTCGCGCTTTGCACGAGTTTTTATATATTGTTTATAAAAATATTGTTATTATCAAAAAAGAAAAAAAGAAAATTTATATATTGTTTATAAAAATATTGTTATTATCAAAAAAGAAAAAAAGAAAATTTATATATTGTTTATAAAAATATTGTTATTATCAAAAAAGAAAAAAAGAAAATTTATATATTGTTTATAAAAATATTGTTATTATCAAAAAAGAAAAAAAGAAAATCAATGATTTTAAAAAACGTATATAATTATTAGAAATGAATTCAAATATATGATAATAAAATAACTATTAGATAGAAGTTTTGATAATGTATGGTAAGCTATTAATTGTAATGTGTATGGGTAAATAATGCGAAGATACTCTTGCAAAACAAAAATCAAGATAAATGTTTTTATATATTGTTTATAAAAATATTGTTATTATCAAAAAAGAAAAAAAGAAAATTTATATATTGTTTATAAAAATATTGTTATTATCAAAAAAGAAAAAAAGAAAATGATTGCAAGTATTTTAGCTAAGATCACAAAAAGTAATTATAATAATTGACTCACATTTTTACTCAGAAATTAATTGATCATTCAAGATTTTAAAAAATATAAATATAGAAATAATTCATATATATGATAATAAAATAAACATATAGATAGAAGTTTTGAAATGTATGGAACTATTAATTGTATGTTATGGTAAAAATGGAAAACTCTTCAAACAACAAATCAAGAAAATGTTTAAAATGATAGTAATATGCGAACAAACTTTTTAGTGTATAGATACAATTTATTTAATATTTTCTCTAATAAATCTTAATTTCATTTAATTAAACGCATTGATTTTATATTATCGCAAGGTGAAAAGGTATTCAGGAAGCAATTTATTTTGATTGTTATTTAAAAAGAATTCAATAGTTAATATTAAAAAAATAAAAACACCTCCACGTAATAGAATTTGCTAATATGATTGTGTCTATATAAAGACATACACACACTTGCAATATGAAAATATATATTGATTCATCAGAAAGTTTAGTTTTGAATAATTAAAAATAACTAATAAATACATATGCTATTGTTCTTCCTATAATTAAAGATTTAGAAGAATTGATCTGGATGTCAACTATCATACTTCATATGAACTCTCTTATCGGAATCATAACTTGGGATGTGAAACTTGGGATGTAAAACCAATTTCGTTGGATGGAATCATGATTTTTGAAGCACAAAAGAATTTTTTTTAAAGATACTATATTTGACCTCAAATATATATATTAATAAAGGCAAATTGATAAGTCACTCATTAGGTTTAATCAATCGAAGAAAAAAAATAATTTGAGAAAAATAAACTGCAAAACAACGACTTTTTTTTTTTTTTTGATAAGTTGGGATTTTTATTAATCGAAGGGAGGCAAGAGTCCAGGAAGTTACTGCCATAGCTTCAGAAGTTTTACAATAAAAAAGCTAATAAACATACAGCAGCACAGTGACAAAGAAACATAATCACCGTGACCCATCATAACAACTCGATGCACCAAAAATGCTGCTCAGTTAAAGAATGAACAAGAGAGAAAAGTAGTGTAACTGAGCTATAAAATCTTTGCCACGAAATTATTGTTTCGCAATATACACCTTGTTTAGCCATTGAATCTGCAAAAGAATTTGCACTTCTAGGAATGAGCCGAAAGGAGACGTTTGAGAATTTGAGGATAAGAGTGTGGATTTGATGAAACTCATCCCGCACCTACCATGGCAGATAAGAGGAGCCAATAATCTAAGAGATAGTGTTTGAGGAGTTTGACTCTATAAAAATTCTTATATCTGTTAGATTTTCGTTAACAGAAATCTTTAGTGCTTGAAGAGCCACAAGAACCTCTGCCCAATTGGAGTCTTGTAAAACAATGGGTCAAGAAAACAAGAAGAGAACCAGCCCCATGGAGTTTCGAAGAACCCCACCAATACTTGCCAATCCTGGTTTACCATGAGAGGCATCATCAACATTCCACTTCAAGGAATCGTAATCGGGGGGGCACTATTGAATAATCGGTTTGACAGATGTAGCATTATTCCAATAGTTGATTGTAGTTCTTGAGGCAATGACTTGATTAAGAGCATAAGAAAAATTCGAATAAGCTGCTTTAGTCTAGATGAAAGCCCGATAAAGCACGATATCAAAAAGTTTATTTTCCTTCAACACTAAATTGTTAAAAATCAGCTCATTTCGCTCCTTCCAAATGGTCCAAATTATAGAAAAAAATACAGATAATTAAAATCTGGATTGAAATTTTCCGCTAGCCATCAATCCCCACTGTGAAAAAAAGATCAAGAAAATTGTTTGCAAAACAGAATGAGAATTCCCACCAATCTAGACATTTGCACCATAAATTCCAAGAAAACAGGCAAAGAATAAAGAGATGTAAATCAGTCTCTAAATCCTTCTTGCAAAAAGAATAAAGACCTTGATCTGGGTGAATAATTCCTCTTTCATTTAGAAAAGCCTTTGTAGAAACTCCCCTTTTAAGTAAGAACCAGAAAAGGAGTTCCACTTTAGGAGTATGTCCCCTTTGTAAACAGTGCATTAGGTTTTCTTTTCATGGGTTTAAGTATTCCAAGATTAACCTGTGGGCTCCACTAAAATATTTTTTTAATCTAATATATCTAAGTTTCAAAAAGGGGTGAGCAGGTATAAAAGTCAAAATGAAGTAATTCTATAATAAGTCGAAAAGTTGAGAGTATTTTTACAGTTTTAGCCGATAGTGTAACGCCCAAATTTCTGAAATTATGAACAATAGCATACTGGATTTTTAATTGGTACCAAATTAGGGTTTTGGAATGATTTTTCAATCCAAATAATTTATTGTCATAATTAGTGAGTTTTTATTGTGATTCATACATTGCATGTTATTAGTTTGATTATTCATGCATTATATGATTTTGAATTGTGAATTGCGAAATGGTAACTTAGGAAGCCTGATTGTGAGATTTAATGTGATATAGTTTTAATTGCACCTAGTTATTTGAAATTGGAATTGAAAATGGTTTTGATTTGATTTTAAAATATTTTTCTTAAATTAATATGATTTTTCCTATTTTTAGAATATTTAAATGATTAAATTGGCATTTTAAAATAATTAATAGCATTTATAAACAATTATTGTTATTTATTATTAATTATTAGAATTTATTTATCAAGATATAATTTATTGTTGATTATTGGTATTTATTGATAAATATTATTTTTTTTAGAAATCAATTGTTAAAATATGATTTTATTAAATTTATTGGGTATTTTATTAATTAGGTCTTATTTAATTAAGTTTGTCTATTGTATGGGCTAATTTAATTAATGAATAAGAAAAGAAAAGAAAAGAAAAAAAGACTATTGCTAATTTGGGCCAAGTGGGCGCCAACATAAAGAAAATAAAAAAATAAAAAATAAAAAAAAAATTAACGCCTAAACTAAAGAGAGGCCGACCCTGTCATTCAGAAAGAGAGTGCCACCCTTCTCTACGAGAAGCTTTTTGTGAGATCTTCCATAGAAACCTATAATCAAAGATCAAAACAAGCAGATCATAGTTAGTGTGAGTAAAATAAATTCGGTGCAATTAGTTATAGCTGCAGTAGAAAATTCCGTAAATAAGATAAGACTCTGTTTCACAATCCATGGATCAATTTTTATTTTTGATTACACATTTTGAATCTCTGTTAATAAGAGATTTTCAATCTCTGATTATTATCTTATTTTCGTTTCGTTAGTGATTTTTTGCCTGTAGAGAAGGCTACGTCTTTTAAGGTTGATAAGGGTAAAGGGAAGACTTAATTGCGATATTAAGCTTACTGTTATGCAATTGAAGGTTAGTACTCTTTAATTATATATTCAATTTGATTTTTAATTTATGTTTGTTTGATTGTGATCATAAGAGTAATTTAAGATTTTCTTTATTTTTAGTGTGATCATATGAAATTGAGCTGATAGTATTGCAATTGAGTATGAATTAATGATATGGTGTGAAAGAATTAAAAAAAAAAAAAAATGGACCCTAGCCATAAGAACCATGACTGGCCGAATGGTCCATAGCTAGTTCATG